CTCTGTCTCTGTCTCTCTCAAAAATATTTTTAAAAAAAAAATCTTGAAGGGTTTTGTATCTACTAGTTCATATCTGTAGGGTATGCCCTACCAAGGATGTTTAATATCATTCCTTTTTACAGCTGCAGAATATGAATATACCATAGTTTATTCAACCAGTTTCCAGTCTCTGCAAACCCTTTTAACTGCAGAGGTGTGAAAAGGGAAACTTCCAGATTTTTAACTGTATTTTTTAATGTTTTTTAAAAAAATGTTTTAATGTTTATCTTAGAGCACGTGGGGGAAGGGCAGAGAGAGAGAGGGAGACAGAGAATCCAAAGCATGCTCCAGGCTCTGAGCTGGTCAGCACAGAGCCTGACGCGGGGCTTAAATCCAGGAAATCATGACCTGAGCCACCTAGGCGCCCCTAACTATATTTTATCATTTTGGTTTCTCTAATTCTTAGGAAACGTTAACTCCATCTTAAAAACTGAGTGTTAGCTTTATGAAGAAAGGGATCGTTTCTGGCTTAATAGCCTTGCTACTGCCTTACCTAGACCAGCATTGTCAAAGTATTGGTCAAGTGGATGAGTAACAGTTGGATTTGGAGTTACTCTGATGTATTTATTGCTAAGAAGACAGTTTCTCTAAGTTTTTTAGGAGTACCTAGCTTTTTTTTTTATATCTCAAATGGTCTGATAGTTGATTTTGGAATTTTATCCTCCTGAATCTGTTGAAGATGGTAAATTCCTGTGCTTCATTTTGTTGTTAGCATTTGCCTTAAGTAGTTGTACCTTGAGGCATCATTGGTAGGGCTGAAGTTTAAACAAAATGAAGGGGAGAAAGTTAAGCAGCAAAGAAAAGGATGCTGATTGGTAGAGCTTGCCTGTCCTTAAATTAGAGTTGAAGAAATGAGGCTTGAGAATTCTATAATTGCCAAAAGGAAGTTTATAATACCTTATAAGTAGAAAGCTTAAACTATAAATACAAGAGCCTTTTTGGTCATAACATTTATTTGCAGTGAATGTGAATGATAGTTTTAAGAGAAGATTAAACAATAACTTTCCTAAATGATTAAAAATGCACTTATATTTATAAAAAATTAAGCAAATGAAATACAAATATACTCCCTAAATTTCATTTACAGAGAAAATAAAAGGTTGCTTAAAATTTTTTTTAAGTATTGAAGATATGTGGGGCACCTGGGTGGCTCAGTTGGTTAATGGTAGCCTAAGGTGTTGGATGATTTTACATTAGTGGATTACTGTCTGAAAATGTTACTAAATGCAAACTAAGATGAAAACACACTAGATTTAGACCAGGTCTGAAATTCAGAAGGAGTCTTGGGATAAAAGAAGTATTGGCTTCCAGTTCAGAAGGATTAAATTTGTTCTTAGGAAGGAGGTTAGTTGAAGAGACCTATTGAAAGAGTGACATTTGCTTATAATGACGGATTTTCTGGGATATGCATACAGGAGAGAAACTTTCTTACCTCAAGCCATCAGCAACTCCAGGAATCAGAATGCAAAATAAATAACTATGACTAAACAAGACCCTCATTTGTCTTATCAAGAGAGAAGGGAGAACAGTCTCTTTGGGAGAACCAGGGCTGTTAATTTATTACTATATCTTATATTAGATTTCACATTGGGATTAACTGTGTATAGGAGGTCTAGTGTGTGTGTGTGTGTGTGTGTGTGTGTGTTTTAAGGCTCCTAAATGGAAACAAGCCAAACCTCTGCTTACTGAGAATTTAAATTTAAATTAGGAAAAGGCCTTTTTATTTTTATCTTCGTGTATATTGCACATTGTTTTGTGAATATTGAATGTTTCCGGACTGATATTCATGACTACTACACTGATGCAGATATGCCAGTTGTTTAAACACGGAAATAATTCTACCAGTAAGTAGCTGCTATCCCAAGGGTGGACCTCCATTTCCCCCACTCTTTTAGTTCCTCCCTGAGGACTGTGCCCCTCTCAACACCCCCCCCCCCCCCCCGCTTTGTGCTACAGCAACTAAAAGCTTAAGGAGGGTGGAGGAAGGGGAGGGGCACAGGAACCTGGCTGCATACTATAAGTCACAATTTACTGTACTTGTTACTCATTGCTTGTTAGCAATTACTAAATATTTCAAATATCACCTCTGGGTATATGCATGAAGAAAACTCAAGTTGAGGAAGCACAAAATGAAAAAAGGTTTTTGATAAACAACAGGGCATCTCAGAGCCTTTTAATTCAATATATAGTAGGCATCATGTCCCTCTAGGAAGAGTAACTAGTGCATGCATTTCGGACTTTCTTGACCAGGGACTTTGTTTGGAACTTGTTTGCGAAGTCCTACAATCTTACGGGATAGTAATTTCTGCAGAATACAGTTTGTGAAGGTCTGCTGTCTTGCATTCTGTAAATGTATACATGTATCAGTGTAAGGCAGTGCTAGGCACTTAGGAAATAGGTAAGTTTTTAATAGATACCTCTAAATCATAAGATAATTAGATGACTGATTGAAATGTGTTCCTTTTTGGTTTTCTTATGGGGGAGAAACAATATTTGGGATAATTTGTGTTCCTAAAGTTGTGAGAGGAGTCTTAACTGGTTAATAAGGAAAATGGTGCTGAAAGAGTTTGAGTAACTAGATGACAAACTGCTTATGTAAGAGAACATTGTTCTTGGAAATATTTCTATTTTGTAGAAAGTAGACACAGTTTAATATGATTTGTTTAAAAAGACCTGGAGTTTGTTATAAATGAACATTATTCACAGAGAATTGGGTATCATTGTTTTAGTAAACTTCTGTCTGCTGCTTGTATCTGTTGAATTAGAAGCCTGTGTAATTTTTGTTGTAGTGTTGTTTCATCCTAATTTGAAAATTAATAATCTGTGTCTGTTAATAATGAGGACTTTGGATGTGATCATTCAAACAGCTTAACAAATAGTTGATGGTATTTTAAGTAGGAGTAGGGTTATATGGTTGGAAAATAAACATGCTTTAAAAAGGTTTTTAATGTTTATTTGAGAGAGAGAGAACGTGCGTGAGCATTTGCAAGGCAGAGGAAGGGCAGAGAGAGGAAGACAGGCTTGAAGCTGGCTCTGTACTGACAGCAGAGTGCCGATGCAGGGCTCCAACTCACAAACTGCGAGATCATGACCTGAGTGAAGTCAGATGCTTAACTGACAGAGCCACTCAGGTGCCTCAATAAATATATACTTTTAATTAATGGTTGATAGTTGAAAAAGACAACACAGACAAATGCAAAAGCATAGTAAAATGGAGGAGTCCCAAATGGTACAAGCAACAAACAAGAGTTTGTTGGAATACTCACTCTGGGCCTTGGTGATCAAGAAAGGTTTAATGGAGGCTGACCTTGAAGGATGAGTAAAATCAAGTAAGTCAGGTCTCGGGCAGAGTTGTTTTGTTTGTTTTGATTGGAAGAGATGGTTGGAAGGGAGTGTGTTAACCGGATAAAGCCCATTTCTTAGCTTAATTAACATTTCACTAACATTATGTATAAATAAAAGGGTATAGTGGAATTATCGATGAAGTTGTAGCTTGAACCAGAAAGTGATGATCTTCATAACATCTTTTATTTTATTAATTTTAAAAGTTTTTTTAAATTTATTTTTGAGAGAGAGAGGGATACACGGAATCCAAAGCAGGCTCCAGGCTCTGAGCTGTCAGCACAGAGCCCAACGCAGGACTCGAACTCACATACTGCAAGATCATGACCTGAGCTCTCAGAGGCTTAATAACCAAGTGAGCCACCCAGGTGTCCCTAGAAAGTGGTGATCTTCAAATAGGATCTATAGTGTGGATTTTCATTGTAGGTGTAGATGCCTGGAGACCTCATGTTTCCCACTTTGCATTTCTATCAGGTATAAAAGTAGGGACCTAATGGAAAACAGACAATCTGTTTTGTTTTTTTTTAAACTGGCAGAGGAAAGTCAAGCTCGGTGGCTGCTGACCTTGGTCCTGAATGATAGCTAAAGTGTTTCTATGAGAATCAGCTTGGAATGAGTTGTGCTGTGCTCTGATGGCTGGACAGCAATCAGTTTAATAGAGTGCCTGGGAACTGCAAGATATTCTTGCTCACATCTCTTATTGGTTAGGAGCATGCATTATGGGGCTAATATGCACCTTGAGTGCAAATCTGAGGCTGGTTGCTTATTACCTGTGCAAGTTACTTAACTTCTCTGTGCTTTAGTATCATTGTCTGTGAAACTACATATTTCAAGGGGCTGTTGTGAGAATTAAATGAATCAATCCATGTGAAGCACTTCGAACAGTTACTGGCACACGAACAGTATAAAGTTAGCCATTGCTATTATCTGTATATATTTGCCTCTATGCCTCATGTTGTGGAGGGAATCTGAGAGAAATATAACGTGGTCGTGCTACCTGTTATGTTGTATGTTATAATCAATTCCACACTACTGCACTCTTGTCAGACTCTAGTCGAGTTATTGGTGACAAGTTTTCATCTTAAAAGAAACACCTATTTAACGACAGAACTTAAGCATAGTCTAATTGCTATATGAAATTTGTAAGATGTTATTCCAGGGAAGACTGTGTCTTAGAGAAATGGGTCTTGTAAAATTTTAGGCTTACAGTTTCTGTTTTCCTGGTTTCTACATAACATACATGTAAAGTGTATGTGTATTTCCAGTATTTTAATGCCTTTATTTTTTTTTTCCAGTAACAAAGTGTGAAATAAATCCCCAATATTTTTCAAGATTATTTAAAAGGAGTTGTAATTACTGCTCAGCACCTAGGACAGCACCCAGTGCAACACTTTGTACATGAACTCTGGCTTGAGTTTTGGGGTTTGTGTTCTGGATTCGGGAAAGAAAAGAAGAGAATCTTTTTGGGAAAGTTAACAATTCTCATAAACACTCTAAAAGTATATGAAATGGAGAATGGTTTCATGGCTTTGTTTCAAAATGTTTTACACTGGCTGTAGAACCCACTTCATGAAGTAGTTTGAGTTAAAATGATCTAATATTTGTGTTTTAACTTTCAGCTTTGTGTTATTCTTGGAAAATTTCGCACCACTTGTGAATTCCTTGAACCTGGGCATTGCAAACCCACTTCTGTTGGGCCCATCTCCTTTGCACTTTGCTCAGATTAAGACTCAATTGGCGCTTCAGCAGCTGAATGCCGTTGCCTCACATAGTTCAACACCACCTTATACTTTATTAAATCAGGCTTTCTTGAAAATAGCCATGTCGAGACCCAGGTTTAATCCTCGAGGAAACTTTCCACTTCAGAGGCCACGAGCACCTAACCCTTCTGGGATGAGGCCTCCAGGACCATTTATGAGGCCTGGATCCATGGGTCTTCCAAGATTTTACCCAGCAGGGAGAGCTCGTGGAATTCCACACAGATTTGCTGGCCATGAATCTTATCAGAACATGGGACCACAGAGAATGAATGTTCAGGTAACTCAGCATCGAACTGATCCAAGATTGACCAAAGAAAAATTGGATTTTCATGAAGCACAACAAAAGAAGGGGAAGCCTCATGGTAGCCGGTGGGATGATGAGCCTCATATATCTGCATCAGTGGGAGTGAAACAGAGTTCTATAACACAGGTTACAGAACAGAGTCCTCAAGTACAGAGCCGCTATACAAAAGAGAGTGCCTCAAGTATCTTAGCAAGTTTTGGATTGTCTAATGAAGACTTAGAAGAACTCAGTCGCTATCCTGATGAACAGCTAACTCCTGAAAATATGCCATTAATCTTGAGGGATATAAGGATGCGTAAAATGGGGCGCCGATTACCTAATTTACCTTCTCAGAGCAGAAGTAAAGAAACGCTTGGTAATGAGGCAGTTTCGAGTAATGTGATTGATTATGGGCATGCAAGCAAATATGGCTACACAGAAGATCCACTTGAAGTACGTATTTATGATCCTGAAATTCCAACAGATGAGGTCAAGAATGAATTTCGGTCACAGCAGAGCATTTCTGCATCTGTTCCCACTCCAAATGTGATATGTAATTCTATGTTTCCTGTTGAAGATGTGTTTCGACAGATGGACTTCCCCAGTGAGTCCTCTAATAATCAGTCCTTTTTCCCAGTTGAGAGTGGAACTAAGATGTCAGGCTTACACATTTCAGGACAGTCAGTCCTTGAACCTGTAAAATCCGTCAGTCAATCCATTAGCCAAACAGTTAACCAGACAATGAATCAGTCTCTTATTCCTCCATCAATGAGCCAGCAACCTTTTTCGTCAGAATTAATTTCAGCTGTAAGCCAACAAGAGCGGATCCCACATGAACCTGTGATTAATTCATCTAATGTACATGGATCAGGAGGAAGTAAAAAGAATTACCAGTCAGAGGCTGACATTCCCATTCAGTCTCCCTTTGGGATTGTGAAAGCATCATGGTTACCAAAGTTTTCACATGCTGATGCCCAGAAGATGAAGAGACTTCCAACTCCCTCTATGATGAATGATTATTATGCAGCGTCTCCAAGAATATTTCCACATTTGTGTTCTCTGTGTAACGTAGAATGTAGTCATTTGAAGGTGAGTGTTTTTAAAGATCACTGTATAATGATACTCAGCGCCCAAATTTCCTCTGAATTTTCGTATTTATGCTGGTGTTAACTAGGCATTGAGGAAATGGCAGAAATAATTGATTGCAACATCACCGCTTAGTTGTAATCTAAGTAGCCCTGGCCTAAGTACTGAATTGAGTTTTAGACCTTCTGTATTCCTGTGTCTGGGCATACCACATAGTTTGTCATTTACTTTGAACTTTTGATTAGTGCTCCTAGAAAATCCATTCAACATAAAATTTATGTAACATAAATTGTATACTTATAAAACAATTCCACATGAGTGAACTTTGTCTAAATAGAATCTGTTACTATAAAAATATTTTAAAAATGGAATAAAAAACTTGTACTGCATACTTTTAAGAGATAGTATATTGTAGCCTTGCATGTGTCTACCTGTCTTGGGCTAAAAGACAGTTAATGCTGATTTAAATATTTTCTGACTCTAGCTAGACAAGGATTTCTAATGTTTCATGAGGAGCTTTCTAAAATGACTTAATCCAGAGCAAAATTGAGTCAAGATGAATTGTTTGGGGAAAAAAAGAGTATTTATTTGGGGACCAGCTGTGGGCTAGAGAATAGTGTAAAATGGTAGACATTTAGAGAGAAAAAAATCTTTAAAAAGGCCTTAGGTACCTTCATGGGAAGTATAGTTAGAAGGAAGTATTTTATAGAGGTGCTGAAGAGTAATGTAGAATGTACTGTTTGATAGTACAATTGACTCTTGAACAACTTGGGGTTTGGAGATGCCAACTCCTGTGCAGTTGAAAGTCCAAGTATAACTTTTGACTCCCTAAACTACAACCTACTGTTGACTAGAAGCCTTACTGACAAACAAATAGTTGGTTAATACGTTTTGTGTGTTAAATGTATTGTATACTGTATTCTTAAAATAATAAGTAATACTGCTAGAGAATAAATGGTATTAAGAAAACCATAAGAGAAAATATATCTGTACTGTAAAAGTCCATGTGGACCTGTGCACTTTAAACCTGTGTCTGTTCAAGGGTCAACTGTAATTGTTGGATTTGTATAGGAATTTCCCAGTATGTTTTATTTACTGATACATGTTTGGAAATCAGTGTTTCTTCTGTTTACTAATGTGATTTATAGATTTATATTACAAATGGTCAGGAAGGAGTTGTACTTCCCACAGGAATAAAGTTTGATTCAAGGACATATAATTGGTAGTATACTATGAATAGGCTTAAAAACCTATAGGTGTTAATTGTCTTGTTTTTTTCTCCTTCCAGTGCTGCCCTTTTACTGTCTTTGTAATACCCATTTACCAGATTTCAGCTGATGATTTTGTTAACTCCAGCAAAGGAAAGCAGCATTTTCCTGCATTTTAGTCAGATTTGCTGAGTTCTAAATAAATAATAGTTGCCTTCCCTATCAAGGGAGATAGCCAAGTCTTAAAAAATTTCAGAATAATTCATCGTTCTTATAGTTTTTAAGCAGTTCTAAGCCCTGAATTGAGTAATAAATAGGCTTTCTGTATTCCATTTGAACTTTTAATTAGTCATGATGAATCCAAGAAAGGTATCTTTAAAATAAAGAACTTAAGGTTTTAATTTTTTTTAATGTTTATTTTTGAGGGAGTGTGAGCAGGGGAGGGGCAGAGAAAGAGGGAGACACAGAATCCAAAGTAGGCTTCAGGCTCTGAGCTGTCAGCACAGAGCCTGACATGGGGCTCGAACTCATGAGCCATAAGGTCATGACTTGAGCCAAAGTCAGACACTCAACTGACTGAGCCACCCAGGTGCCCCTTAAAGTTTTAATATTTATTTTGTAGAATGGAAAAGGTGTATGTTTATTCAGTAGGTGTTTACTGATTATCAGTTTTGTACATGACTCCATTAGATGCTGGGCTCTCATATAAAGTGAAGATGTTGGTCTTAAGCAGTTTAAACAGTCTCATTGAAGAGAAAAATAACATATCTAAGGAATTTAAAAAATTAGAGGTCAACAAATGGTTCGGTGATTGTATTTGACTTGTTTGGGTATGCTGTAGGGGTGAGAGATTTAATATTTCTGTATGGAATTTAGGCTTATATCCATTCAGGCCAGTGCTAAAAATTTATCAATACCTTTTATGTATTTAACAGCATATAATTAAAAAGAAGTATAAATAGTGCTCAGTTGGGCAACACATATACTAAAATTGGAATGATACAGAGATTAGCATTGCCCCTGTGCAAGGATGACATGCAAATTCATGATATGTTCCATATTTCTTATACTAAGTTTAGTTACCATCTCTTATATAGATAAAGAGAAAACAAAAGAAAAAAAGTATAAATGTACTTTCTGACATCAAAAGACTTCTGTAGTCTAGTTGGAGGAGATTGAGTGACAGTGACTAACTAACTGCATTGAGTCTGTCTGGACTAGAAGTATCGGGGAGGGAAGACTTCATGGAGTAGATTAAATATGGGTCTTGAATGATGAGTAGGCTTCAAATATACCTAGGGGAAGATGGATGACATTTCAGACATCAGCAACAACAGTAAGTACCAAGAGCCTTCAAAAACTTAAGGTGTTTAGACTTTAGGTGAGAGGCACTAAGAAGCTATTTAAGGTTCTTGATATGAAAAGTGACATGTTCAAAGTGTATTTTAGAGAGATAAATCTGGCAGATGTATGTAGGGTATACAGGAATGAGAAGACATAAGATAGGGCACTGAATATGAGGCTTCCCTAGTTCCTCAAGTGTAAGATGGTGAAAGTCTGGGTGAATATGATAAAAGTAAAACTTAGGAAAAGAAATCATTTAGTGATGCTTTAGAGTTCACAGAGATTACCATTTAAAACAAAACAAAAAACACATACATTTTTAACAGAACAGCATAATGGATCTAACTAATGAATTCTTCACTACTGGATGATCAAATGATAGGGATTTGTGAACATGGACTTAGATGGTATAAACTACCTCTCATTTCTGTGTGATATATCTTCCTGCCTTGTAAATGACCTTGTAAATAATGTAGCCAATAAATGTAAATTACCAATTGCAATTTTTTTCTTGCAAAGTAACGTTTGACAAATATGTTCCCCATGCTGAATCTTTAAAACTATAGCCTGAAAAAGGCAACAGTGGAATGTGAAATGTATTTTTCTAAATTGGTTTTCAGATGTTAGAGGAGGAGCTGTCCTTGGTTTAGAAGTTACGTCTTTTGGGCTATCCTTGGTTTAGACGCTGTCTTTCAGACTGAAATAATTCAGTTTGAGAAAATACTAATTGACATAAAAGATTTTTGAGGTAGTTGGAGGATAGAGTGAGCTCTTACGTGGGTAGGTATTTTCACAGTTTGATTCTGGACCCACTCAAGTCTACAGTGCTTGCGATATTTCCTGCTTAGTAAATGATACCACTTTTTCTCTGGAGAGGTAGTACTGCTTTGGACCCTTAATCTAATCTGGATACCCTTACTAGAGAGTCTAGAAATTTGGGTGGCATAGGTATATTTACTGAGCTTAAAGCAAGTAATGTCAGTGAGTGAAGTGAGCCTGTTAAACAGAAGAGAGAGAGGGAGAGTGTGTGTATATACATATACGTATATATGTGTATATATACACGTATATGTATATGCATATGTATATGTATCGATACACATATATATGAATGTATATGTAAAACTGGAGAGTGTGCCTTAAATAGGGCCGCCATCAGCATTAGCTGATAGTTGCTGTACAGAATACATATTTAGTATTTTTTCAAGAAAAGCTGTAAGTCTGGATTTGGGGATAAAATCTCTGGATTGTTCAATGATGGCAACTTATTCAAACAAAACACTTTGTGGTCTGAATAAATCATGCCCAACCCACTACTTGCCAGTGTGTCTGTTTGATGTAAACAATGTCCAGTTAATGTCAAAGACATGGGTTTAGGAGTACTAGAGACTCTTGTGGTTTCTGTTTTGTAGCATTGAGCAGGATATGCAGACATTTCTTTTTTGCAATCCACAATGAGTTCCATGGCTTAATGAAATAGTTTAGGGTTTTTCATAATCTGTTGCTACGTATTGCAGATAGCATGCACTTGTGTTCATACAGTTTTTGACAAGGCAGATTCCAAAATTAGCGTCAACTGTGGTTTTAACTGTGGAAACGTCTAGTTTGTAGCAATGACATACTAAAATGTTTTTGAAATGGATATGAATAACATTTTCTTCAAGGAACATTTTAAAATATAAAACTGTTTACTAAGTTTTTTGCTTGTCCAAACGCTAGAGAAACAATAAATCATTCCGTAATAATGTTGCTTTTAACTTTCACTTGGGGGACTGTGTCTTTGAAAAGTGTATTGTCTTTTGTTTTTTTTTTTTTAATCGGATGTATCTTCCAGGAACTATTTATGGGTATAGAATGTAATTTTAGGGCAGATTTGTAAATTAAGTAATGTATTAAGAGAGAATTTTGTTCATTGTAAAGCTCTATATGTATAAGGGATATCGTGTCTTTGAAATAGTGTTATTTTCCCTTAAGTCCTGAAAATAAATTAGATTTAATCAGCAGTTTTTCATATTTTTACTGATCTTATCCTTTGTCAATATAGTGGGTACCTTGTTTGGAATGGTACTGGCCTAAGAGGTAGGAGTTCTTGTTGTTGATGTTGTTAGCTTGAATTTAGAGATACAAGTTGTGTACACTATGTTTTGAAGATGCCATTTCAGATACTGTTTTATTATAGAGTTTTTGGTGTTCTCTGGAGTATTTTTATATTTGAGATGAATTATTTCTGACCAATGCTTTTTTTCCCCAAGTTTAAGTATATATTTGATTTCAAATGAGTGTCCATGGGTATGATTTTTTAAATGTGTTCTATACTAAAATGTTTCAAAATGGCATCAATGAGGTCTGGTATTGAGTGCCTTTATTTAGAGGCCTTTTATTTTTGTGAAATACTAATGAGTAGTCAAATGTTATTTATAATTAGGTTTGTTAATTTTTGAAAAAACAGAAGTATCCTGTGTCATTTTTAAAAGCCTAATTTCATTAGTCAGTGTGAGGAATATTCTAATTTCAGCACTTTTGTCCTTTTACAATAGGATTGGATTCAGCATCAAAATACATCTACTCATATTGAGAGCTGCCGCCAGCTACGTCAACAGTAAGAACAAGTTTTTCTTTTTTATAGGTAGCAAATTTACAAAATAGTTCATGTTCAAGTGTGACTGTTTAATACCATTTGTGTGGTACTTTAGAGAAAAATATTTTTAGAAAATTATTGCCTGTTTGAAATACTTTATAAAGTATATTTAATCTTTTCCCAAAAGGAGAGAATTAAATATGATCTTTTCTTCTGAATCCCTCCTAATGTAATCCCAGTAGGTAGACTTTAACAGGAACCTCTTATAACCCTGGAGTAACAAAATTAAATTGTATTTCTCCTACCGTCATTAAACGTGCTAATATAGTTGTGTGTCAAGTTACTGGTCACTAAAACTGACATACTAAACATGAGAGTAACATTTTGGGTGAAATGATTTTTGTGCAGCTGGTTTGGGATTTGGTTTTGTTCTTTATGAAAACATCACCAAATTTTTTTGAGATTATTCAGGACTCTTCTGGTCATAAATGATAAACAACTCAAAGTAGTTTTTTTTTCTTAAGTTTATTTATTTTGAGAGAGAGCACATGCGCGTTGGGGAGGGGCAGAGAAGGGGGGGAAAGAGAATCCCAAGTAGGCTCTGCCCTGTTAGGGCAGAGCCTGACAATGTGGGGCTCAATCTTGCGAACCTCACAAACCATGAGATCATGACCTGAGCCAAAATCAAGAGTTGGACACTTAACCGACTGAGCTCCTGAGGTGCCCCTCAAAGTAGTTTCTAAAGTAAGGAAATGTATTAGCGTATACAACTGGGAAATTTAAGAAGTGGTTCTAGTTTCAGGAACAGCTGAATTTGGATACTGAAACAAAAATCAAAGCAGTCAAATGTTTTTGTTCTTTGGCTGTTCTCTTCTGCTTTGGCCTTGTGAGATCCCAGGTACACTTCCTCTACAAAGCAAAATGACCCCCATAGTTTCAGACTTAAGGGAACTGTATAGTTAATAATTCCAGGAGTTAAAACCAAAATAGAAACACACAATAACCCTCAAAAAAACATCTTTCCTCATAAGTCCTTGGTTTGACTCTTTTGGTCTACTTTGAATTAGTTGTCCATCTTGAAATCAGGTATAATGGTTGTAAGAATTGGGTACTCTACCTGTGTTGGTGTCATGTCCTTGCTCCTGTTGTTGAGTGTGATAATAAGCCCTACCTGAATCATATAGACTGTATATGAGTAGAGATAGGAGTTGCTTCCCTATATAGATGCTGTGCAAGCATAAGTTAACTTATGGAGATAATTTGTCATCTGAATTAGATAGGCTTAGCTAGCACTGTAAATGGAAGATCGCTCTTAAACCATAAATTTTCTCAGATCAGTAGGATGTCTAATTCTTATGAAGGTGAGGGATTTAAGTGGGAGTGAGTTATTTGTTATAGGTAGGCATTAATGCTAATAAGGGGATTCTAGCTACGTATACTGCCATCAGTTTACTAGAGGAAATGACATGTATGCCTATTAAAGCCTTCTGTTTTTTTTTGTTGTTGTGGTTTCTTGTACTTAGGACCTGATTTTAAAGTGCTTTCTGTGCCTGCCACTTAATTACTCCAGCCTACATTTTTACCTTTTTCAGGTTATGTGCTCTTGAATAATACCTTCTTGACTTTTTCTACACTGCAAAAAAATAATGACCAAAAAAATGGATTTGATTAGGTGCTTGGGATCATTCCATGGGAAAATATATGCTACTATATTCTTTGTTTTTTTAAGTTACATTGTGTTCCTTTTGTTTCTGTACCTTAATCTATATAGACATTCCTCTGCTGATGTATATTTAGGTTCTTAGTTCTTAAGGTTTATTACCTCTTTCCTCTCTTTGTCTTTGTTGGATCTTCCTGGAATATACCACAAGAGTAGTTGGTTAACCTGAGAAAAGATACATTACATCAGAATTTTAGTATTAATAATGAAGTATAATAGCTATATTCTTATTATTGTATGCTGGACCTAATTCTAAGTCCTTTACACAATTTAATCTTCACAGTAACCTTTTGAAATGTATGTATAATGATTATTTGTGATTTTTACCATGAAGGAAACTAAGGCACAGAGAGTCGTTTTCCCTGCTATCTCACAGCAAATCATCGGCACAACTAGTCTGTCTAGCCATGGATCTTTCCTCCTTCCCCCCCCCCCTTTTACACTCAACATATTATTCTGAAAAGTTTCTAAGCTGCAAAAGTTGAAAGGATAGTAAACATTCATGTATTCATCTTTATTCACCAATTATTATCATTTGCCACATTTATTTTATTTTTATATAAACTTTTTTGAACTATTTGAAAATAAATTACAAACGTTATGGTAACATCACTCCTCAATTCAACATCTGTCTCCTCTAAGAGTAAGGAAATTTTTCTACAATGGTTATCTGTTATAACCACAACGAATCCCTGCCTATCCCCCAACCACACTCCCAATCTGAGATTGTCAAGATTCATGCATTACAGTCTCTTAAGCTAGAACAGCCTACTCTGCCTGTTTTGTTTCGTGTCATTTCATTTCATTCATTTATTTTTTTGAGAGGAATGCTTTCACAGCGTTGACTTCTTTTGAAACATCCAGGAAAGTTGTCTTGTAGAATGTTCCAAAAGTACATTTTGTATTTTCTGTTTGTTTCCTTATAATTAAATTGAGATTGAACTTTTTGTCACAAAAACTATTGGTGATGTGTACACTAATCACATTGGGACATAGGTAATGTCTCTTAGGTTCTTGTTCTTAGGAATTATGCTGTACTGCCTTTGTGAGGAGTACCATGCTTCTGAAACACATTTTAAACTAGTTAGACAATATACAGATAGTCCAAACTCTACTTGAAGAATAGTATATATGTTTTATCTTCCTGCCCTGGCAGCAGAGACAAGAACATGTATTTTAGCAGTCAGCCTAATGAGGATCCAAAACATTACTACTAACTCTTGAACAGTGGCCCTCAAGATCTTGTGAATCCATAAACTGGAGAGCTCAAGGAACTTAACCTCTGTGTTGACAAGCAGCTATATTTCTAGCATTGTACATGTGAGAAAGCTAAAGCTTACTCACATTAAGTAACTGGGTTTCAGATGCATGGTCATTAAATGTCAGCATGTATACTTAGACCTAGCATTGTTTGATTCCAGAGGGCTTGCCTTTTTTTTTTTTAAGATTTTATTTTTAAGTAATCTCCACACCCAACATGGGGCTCGAACTCACAGCCCTGAGATCAAGAGTCACATGTTCTACTGACTGAGCTAGCTAAGCGCTTCCAGAGGTCTTGCTTTTATTGATTGATTTGTTTATTTGTAAAGTTTATTTATTTATTTTGAGAGATTGAGTGAAAGAGCGCGTGTGCAGGCAGGGGAGGGACAGAGAGAGGATCCCAAGCAGCTCTGTGCTATTGGCACAGAGCCGGATGTGGGGCTCGAACCTGTGAACTGTGAGATCATGACCTGAGCCAAAACTGAGTCAGATGCTTAACCAACTGAGCCACTCAGGTGCCCTAGAGGTCTTATTGTTAAATGTTATATCATAGACCAGAAATTTACCTTCTTAGATGGTAATAAAGTAAAGGGTAAGTGTAAATGAAACAGTTATTCATGTTTTGACAATTGTTGATGCTGGGTGATGGATATGCTGGATTAAAGTTAACTTTTTTTTTGTCTTCATAGTTTGTCCCCTTATAGTTACAAGATGCTTTAGGCATCATGTTTCTCAAAGCAGGAAGAAGGGGGAAAGAAGCAGGAAGAAATTTGCCAGTGGTTTTGCACCTATGTCTCATTCGTTTGAACCTATCACTGGCTATGTTCTAAGGAGGCTGGGAAAGCAAATATTTAGCTTTTTTTAGCCTTTGTAGTAGAGGCAGGCAAGTGAAAAGGAAGTTGAAAATTGCTGTTGAGTTAACCTGCTAACATTGTCTGGACAAATAATAACAAATAAAAGCCATTTTACCTTACTGTGGTTTTGACCTGACTTTATTTTCCTGCCAGGTGACTTGCTGTAAGAGTCGGCTGCTTCCATTTCCTTACCTGGCGCTCCTCTTGGTTATTGAAATTGTGTTTTTGAATATTAATTGGCTTAATGGTTTAATTTCCAATTTAAAATTTTTTCCAAAATTTCCAATTAACCTTCCAAGTTCAGATTCTCTAGAAAAGTTGCGGATGAAGATGTCTTTTTCTTAGACTTCTATGATGTTACTGTTCTTTCTACTTTTTTTTCTGTGGTTTCTTAATCTCTTTTATTGGTTTGTCTTTGCGTTACTCTTGAGTGTTGGTGTCCTCAGCCCCTTTTTTCCTATAAACTGTATTCTCTGTTAGTCTCACACAGTCTTTGTGCTATATGTGACTTCTGCATGCCTGATTTTTCAGTATCTTAGTCCTCATCTTTCCCCATAATTCCAGATATTTATTTCTAGTCGTTGTGAAAAATTCTTGTGTTCTTTTGGATTTCAGAAATGTTTATTGGTCCCCTATTGCCTTTTACTTAATGTGCACCCTCCTTACCTTTAGGAACTTCACCATTTGTAATTCTGAGCCACCGTTGCAGGTTTTTCCCCTCATAATTGCTTTTCATCATTTCCATGCTGCAGCCAGACCAGTTCCTGGAATAGAATACTTATTTTGCCTCTAAATTCTTTTATGTATCGCCACTTAATGAAACCTACCTTGATCCATGCCTATTGGTAGACCTTAAAGGGCTACCTGGAAAACAGCCTTTTCTGCAAATTCTCCCGATTATTCCCACCAGATGTGTCTTTTCGAGAACCACTAGGTACAGTGTAAAGGGCTCCGTACATGTTGTATTCTATAGAATTGTGTCCCCTGGAGTTCTGCAAAGTGCATGAACTGTCTTTGTCTTTTAACCTCTACCTAAACTTGTGTCATGTACCTGTTCTGTACCTCTTTACACACTTTTATGTGTATTCCCTATTTTACTTAAGTAAACTTTGAAGTCTTCAAAATTGAGAATGTGTTTCTTTTCCTTGAAATGCCTACTAGAGTAATGCTTTGATTATTTCTTGAATTAGACACTCAAATATTTTACTTCCAAGAAAATTTTCATATATTAATCTACTAATAAATTATGTAAACTTAGGTTTTGAATAGTCCTGATACATTGCAGGGAAAGATTAATTGAAACTTATAGTCTCATTTCAACTGTTCATTAATACTGTTTATTCTCAAAATAGGTATCCTGATTGGAATCCTGAGATCCTCCCATCAAGAAGGTAATTCTTTTTTGAATAGTGGTGTTGTTGAGACTTAATTTTTCTCTTAAAAGTAAACAGGTATTTTTTTTAAAGGTGTTCTTTTTGAGTTCCTGTTTTGATTGTTTTCACTTTGAAACATCAGACAAATGCAGCAATCTCTATGAATCTTTAATTACCCAGCTTAAGTATGATAGCTCACCTCTGTGAACTTCTGGTTTTTATTTTTTTTAGTCTTTCCTGAAGATACTTTATGCGTTTGTTATTATTTTATGTTTCGGGGATCTTATGTTATAAATGCCTTGAAGGCTAGGAATGGTTTCATTAAGCTTTATATTCCCTAGGAGGTACCTATTTAATGTATGTATATACAAGTACAGCAGTCAAAGACTTTAATATTTGTAGCTGGTATAATCTCTCAGGAAAAATTGTTGAAAAGCATTTGTTCATGTAAGTCGTTTCTTAAATTCTTTATATAACTTAATACTTTCAATACATAATTGTCTATATTGTGATATAGGAAAAGCTCAGGAAATTGATGAAGGGTATTGTCTGTATATTAGCAAAACTGGGATCCAAGCAATTAGAGGGATAAACATTTGTTTGTTTCTTATTTATCTACAAGGCTGAATTGCACCATAACATAGGTTTTTTTGTTTTAAATAAATATATGGTATCAGAGTTTGGTGTTGTTAATAATCTGTTGTTAAGAAGGGACTTCGGGGGATGCCTGGATGGCTCAGTTGGTTAAGCATCCGACTCTTGGTTTTGGCTCAGGTCATGATCTCACTGTGGGTTTGAGCCCTGCACTGGGCTCTGCGCTGACAGCACGGAGCCTCCTTGGAATTCTCTCTCTCCCTCTCTCATTGCCTTCTCCCCACTGGCGCTTTCTCTCTCTAAATAAAAATAAACATTAAAAAAAAGTGACTTTTGTTATTTAATGTAACCTAAATTTACATTAAATTGCTGAATCTTTTGATCCCCCCTCACCCATTCTTTGTAGAAATGAAGGCAATAGAAAAGAAAATGAAACTCCAAGAAGACGTTCTCATTCCCCCAGTCCTAGACATTCTAGGAGATCAAGCTCAAGTCACAGATTCCGTCGATCTCGAAGCCCAATACGCTATATATACAGACCGAGAAGTCGAAGTCCAAGAATTTGCCATCGTTTCATTTCTAGATACAGATCCAGATCCCGTTCACCATATCGAATGAGAAATCCATTTAGAGGTAGTCCAAAATGCTATCGATCAGTTAGCCCTGAAAGGACATCACGGAGATCAGTGAAATCATCAGGTACACTTATGGATGTGAATAATAGATCTACTTATTTTGACTGAATTTTTCAGTTGGGTTTTTTTGAATTTTTTATTTCTATATTTTTAATACGTTTGAAATGGTGATGTGTATGCTACTGTCAAGATTTAACCAAAGTTGACATTTTGCGCTATTTGCCTTAGCCCTTCTAATAAAATGGAATATTTCATTTCTGTGTTTAGAATTTCTATGTGAAATTGACCCACATCCCAACCTAGTCTGATCTTCTTTTATTAACTATCAGAAGAAATTTGGGAGAGTTTATCTGTCTACCCACAATCAAATTTAAAAACCATGGCTAGGCAAACATCTTAGTTTGGCCATAAGTTAATTTAAAATTTTTTTGGTATTTTTCATATTTTCAATCTGTGTCTTAATATTGGTTTAGTGACCTTTCTAGAAATATCTCAATATGTTTCCTCTGAGATCTTTTTAGAGGTCTCCAGCGTCTTCCCTTTTCCAACTACATGTCTGTGAAGCTGGATTTTCTTTATACATTTCAGCCAAAATAATGTATCTATCAGACTGGATGCAGAAGCAGATATGATAATTCAGGTTTTAAGTGCAACATGAATATCTTTGGGAAAATACACAGTGGTGCTACTCCTCCACCTAATTTTTTGTTTGAGAATTAAGGTTGTTTTTCATAAAAATGTTATTTATGCTAACACAGGAGATTATTGTTGTTAAATGAATTAGTAAATCTTTTAAAATTTTGATTTCAATTTCTTATATGGTAAATACTGATAAATTTAACACAGAAACTCCTTGGAGTCCTCAGTTTTTAAGAGTGAAGGGGGATTCTGAAATCAGAAGTTTGAGGACCACTCAAGCTCATGAGTGAAGAATTGAAAACTCAGAATTTTTTTGTGTGTATTTGCTTCCTGTTTGGTCTGACAGTGGCTCTATGTGATAAGTATTTGGGCATTTGAGTTCTTCCTTTTTCTTTGCTAATGTGATGAGATAGTTTCCACCTTAAGTTCTTTTCAGTTGAAGTTTCATTTATGTCCTTTTTACTAGATAGAAAAAAAGCATTAGAAGATGTAGTACAACGATCCGGGCATGGGTCAGAATTCAGTAAACAGAAGCATCTTGAAGCAGTTGATAAAGGACACTCACCAGCACAAAAGCCTAAAACTGGCAGTGGATCAAAGCCATCAGTAAAATCTACAAACTCTACAAAGAGTGATTCAAATTTAGGGGGACATTCTACTCGTTACAAAGTCAAGAATATTGAAGATGACACATTACCAGAATGTAAACAAGTGTCTGATAAAGCTGTTTCTCTCCAGCGTAAGGTCAGTAGTTCTTGAATTGTTAGTGCAATTGTGTATATACATGTCTTATTATGACAGAAAAAGTTGCTTGAATTTTTTATTTTCATATTTTAAAAGTTTGAAATTGTGACTTGTTGAAGTATGTTGGTATGGAATATTTTATTGGTTGGTTTTATGAATTTAGTAAAAGCCCAATAATTCAAAATCTCATAGCTTACAAATAAATCCTGGAGGTTTGGCATTTGATGTAACAAAAGTGAGAACATTTCGGTGGTTTGGTGGTTTTTGGCTAGCCACACAAACAGGTTGTTGTGATGAGTTTTGCTCTTTGGTGGGTAAGGTGAATGTAATCACCAGCAATATAAATGAGTTTTTGTAAGCTGTACAAGTCTCTACTGAGAATTGATCATTTTTAATCAATTTTTTTTACTTTTTTGAAGTATAGTTCAGAAGTCAAATACTCTTGTCCAGTGTAGAACAGCTTATTTTCTGGTACTGATTGATTTATTGGTGTATTTTGACTGTATTTTGACTGTTAGTTATAATCCTGAGGTATTATTTTATTACATATGTTAATTACTACTATAGTAAATAGTATATGAATCATTTGGAAAACATTAGGGTAATTGCTAATTTTAGGCCAAATTATCAGATGTTTAGTGTGTTGTAGTATTAACAAATCTTCAGGTATTTAGGTGCATATTACTCTTAACTTGTCTAAATATTTTCAACAGTTCTAATTCCTTGCCTTCAAAGAGCTTATATTTAGAAGGATACACTTAAAATGATCTACCTGTAATTACACAATTTTGAAGAGTGTTGGGAAGAAATTTTTAATATGGGGAATAGGCTAAATTAATGTTTAATGTTCTTTTCATTTTTTCCCAGGACTTGTAGATGGTGGCAGTGGAACTTTTTCAATGTTTATTTTTGAGAGAGGGAGAGAGAGAGGGAGACAGTTTTTGACATAGGTGATAAATTTCATATTGCAGGGTATTCAGATTTTATACATATTTTATATGAATCTTTTTAAATGTTATACTTACCTAGGTATCATTTCTTTAACGTTTTAAAATTTATTTTTGAGAGACAGAGACAGAGCATGAGCTGGGGAGGGGCAGAGAGAGAGGGAGACACAGAATCCAAAGCAGGCTCGAGGCTCTGACCTGTCAGCATAGAGCCCAACACAGGGCTTGAACCCACAAACTGTGAGATCATAACTGGAGCTGAAGTCGGATACTTAACTGACTGAGCCACCCAGGTGCCCCTACATATCATTTCAATTATTATTATTATTTTTTAGAAATCTTAGTTTTTTTGTTTATTTTTGAGAGATAGAGTGCGAGGTGGGGGGCAGGGGGGGACGACAGAGGATCCAAAGTGGGCTCTGTGCTAACAGCAGACAGCTGAATGCTTAACTGACTGAGCTACCCAGGCGCCCCGATATCATTTCAATTATTTAAACACAGAGTTAACAAAGCTGTAATTTCAGCTTCATTAGTGATAGGCCTTGTAGATTCATATAGAAAACTATTCTTCAGTAGTTTTAGATTATTCCATAGGTCTTGTTTATTATAAAATGCTTCTAAACAGAAAAGAGCATTTGTGATCATGTATGTATAAACTCTGACCACTGTTAGGGTTGAGTGGTAAAATATAAAACAGTTTTTACTACTTCAGCATTTAAAATTTTTTTTAATTGTGCTAAAATATTTAGAAAAGTCTGCTGAAAGGACTAAGGTTAATGGTAGCAGAAATTATATTGGGAATTATTATTGTACTTCACAGCTTAATTCAGTTTTTTAAAAATTTTCTTTCATTCAAATATAGCTTCGGAAAGACCAGTCTTCGCATTATGGTTCAGTTCTTCTTATATCTGAATTACCAGAGGATGGCTGTACTGAAGAAGAGATTAGGAAAATGTTTCAACCATTTGGAAAAGTTAATGATGTCCTCGTTGTTCCTTATAGAAAAGAAGTGAGTCTCTGTTCTCAAAATGCATACAAAGTTATTACTTGATAAAGACTGATGTTGGATCTTTTAGTAGCTTTTACTACATATATAATTAATAATTGAGTGTTAATGTAAATGATTAGATTCCAGTGAACAAGGTCCCAGCATACTGTTTTATATCCTTTAGAACAGGGATTGGTTAACTTTTTCTGTAAAGGGCCTGATAGTAAATATTTTAGGCTTTGCTGTAAGATTGAAGATACTCAACACTGCCATTGTAATACAAAAGTAGCCATAAATAATATACAAATGAATGGGCATGGGTTTGTTCAGAAAAACTACTTGTGAAAACAGGTGACGGGTTATAGTTCGCTTTCCATTGCTTTACACACTGGTAAGATTATAGCAAAAAATGACTTTGGTGTACCATACTTTTTACATGTGTATTGTATTCCTATGCCTCACACAGTAAAGTTCATTAAAATTATGAACAACACCAGACTAAGTAGAACATAAAATCGTGAGACAAGGGGCGCCTGGGTGGCTCAGTTGGATAGGCGTCCGACTTCGGCTCAGGTTATGATCTCACGGTTTGTGGGTTTGTGGGTTTATGGGTTTGAGCCCCGCATCAGGCTTTGTGTTGACAGCTCAGAGCCTGGAGCCTGGTTCCGATTCTGTGTCTCCCTCTCTCTCTTCCCCTGCTTGCACTTTATCTCTCTTTCTCAAAAATAAATAAACACTACAAAAAAATTAAAAATTGTGAGACGAAACAGGAAAACATAGTTGGTAGTGTTCATTGTTGCAAGAAACTTAAAAATGTCAGACTTAAAGCCGCTAGACCAGATCTTGCCTTCTCTGGTTACTCAGCCATGCCTCCTATGTCTCATGGTTCCACAAGCCTGCCACGGACCCCTGTTTTCCCTGTCCTTTCTTGGTAATAGTGTGGAAATTCTATAAGGTTAAATGTCCCATTTCATGTGCGAAAACACCATAGAGATCAAATGACACTTGAGCAAAACAAAAAGAGGTAAAAGGAACCAGGAGTTGAGGTAATTTCATAGTTTTATGTTCCACAAAAAGTACCAAGTCATACAGAGAATTTTGAGTTAGATTTTTGACTAACAGTATAATACATTTTATTTAGGCTTACTTGGAAATGGAATTTAAAGAGGCAGTTACAGCAGTCATGAAGTACATTGAAACAACACCTCTTCTGATAAAAGGGAAAAATGTGAAAATATGTGTTCCAGGAAAGAAAAAATCACAGGTAAACTGGATTTAGATCACACATGTTTCATTGTTGTTGATTAATTTGATGATACGAACAGGGGCGCCTGGGTGGTTCAGTTGGTTAAGCATGGCTCAGGTCATAACACCCGGATTGTGAGATCAAGCCCTGCATCGGGCTGTGCACTGAGCCTAGACCCTGCTTGGGATTTTCTGTCTCTGTCTCTCTCTGCCTCTTCCTCCCCTGCTTGTACGTGGAGTGTCTCTCTCTCTCTCTCTCAGTAAAAATAAAATAAAGTATGATACATACATAAAATGCATAAAACATAAATGTTCACTCAGCAGATTGTATGTGTATAGATTAAAATATATTGAAATTAACAACTTTATATAAATAGCACTATAAACCGTATTAAATGGCAAGCAGTAGAGCAGGAGAAAATACTTAACAAAGTTAGCAAACATCTGTGAAACCTCTACCTAGGTCACAAACTAACATTGACTACATCCTGGAAGCCCCTTGCATACATCTTCTGAATTCTTACACCGTCCTTTCTGCCTAAAAGTAATCCTTAACTTGATTTCTAATACTGTAGTTGAGTTTTGCCTATTTTGAACTTTAAATAAACAATTATAAAGTGTATATAGTCTTTTGGGACTTGTGTTTCCTTAGAAGTATTAATATTTATGAATTTAGTCTTTCTAGACATTTTTTATGCTTTAGTTTAACCATTGGTAATGTCTGTGAAAGTACTTAGAAATATTCAGTAAGCTTTGCTTTGTTCACGAGTATCCTTTTCATGTGATTATTATATTTGTTGAAGAATGCCTACTTTATAGGGGCCTTGTAGCACTTTTCAATCAGTGATTTGGAGCTCTAACCATGTTAGTATATGTAGATTAATTATAGCTATTATAATTATTAGCTATTAATTACTATTTTAATGAGCTGTGAATATCTGTTCCCATCTGTCTTTTAGGTTGTATTTTTTAAAAGACTTTTTAAAAAACTATTAAAAAGTTTTGTTTGGGGGCGCCTTGGTGGCTCAGTTAGTTAAGTGTCTGCCTTGATTTCAGCTCAGTTTATGATCTCATGGTTTGTGAGTTCGAGCCCTGTGTTGGGCTCTGCACTGTCAGCGAGGCACCTTCTTAGGTTCCTTTCTCTCTCCCTCTCTCTCTGCCCCTCCCCCTTGCACGCCATCTTTTTCTCTGTCTCTTTTTTTTTTTTTTTTCCAACGTTTATTTATTTTTGGGACAGAGGGAGACAGAGCATGAACGGGGGAGGGGCAGAGAGAGAGGGAGACACAGAATCGGAAACAGGCTCCAGGCTCTGAGCCATCAGCCCAGAGCCTGACACGGGGCTCGAACTCCCGGACCGCGAGATCGTGACCTGGCTGAAGTCGGACGTTTAACCGACTGCGCCACCCAGGCGCCCCTTTCTCTGTCTCTTAAAATAAATGAACTTTAAAAATTTCATTTGGGGGTGTTAATGATTTTAGATACTAATTTTGTACTATGTATTTTCTTCCTCTGTGTTATTTATATGTATATCCATATATGAAGTTTTTAGTTTCAGTGTACTCAACGTTGATTTTTTTCCCCTCTTAATGGCTTTTGCTTTTTTGCTTTCCTCTTGTTTTAGAAGACCTTCTCTATACCAATGCCAAGAAGATATGCTTCCATTATTATTTTAATGTATAAATTGTGGTATAATGTGTTATTGGGATCAACATTATTTCCAAAATGGAGAGCCAATTAGCGGAACACCATTTGTACCTAATTGGTTCTTCATTGATTTCAAAAGCTATCTTTATGTGTATAAATTTCCCTGCATATATAGATCTGTTTCAGACTATTGTTAGCTCAGTCTGTTTATTTCTGTTCCAGTAATACATGATTTCAGTTATTATTACAGTTATTATAATTTTATATAATTGCTGTCTTTCTGATAGAATCTTTTTTCTTTGTTCCTTATTTAAATTTAGTTAATCTTGAACATTTACTCCTGTGTATTGGTTTTAGAATCAGTTTAAGTTCTCTGAAAACTCTTTTTGGGAGTTTAACTGATACTGTATTGTGTATTGAAATTATTATAATACTAACTATTTCTGTTTAGAAAGATGGCTTGTCTCTGTTTATTTAGACCTCATTTAGTTTCTTTTCCTAATGTTCTTTTGTAAAGTTTCCATAATGTACATTTTGGAGGGGGTGTTAAGTTTATTTCTTACATTTATTTGTATATATCATAAATACTAGTTAAATTGCTTTTTGATAAAGCATCTATATTTTTTAATTTTATGTTTTCTGATTACTTACTAAGTAACCCATGATCCTGGTTTACATCTGTGACATGCCATCTCTTTATTTCCATTGTCCTATCTTGAATAATGAATTTTATGATAACCTTAATTATTACCAATTTTATTACTTAGAATTTCTTATATTTTCCGCTAACAGAAAATTTCACCAGTAGTTTATGAAATAAATGAGAGGTTTATTTATCTCATAACAGAAAGTCTGAAGGTAGGTGGTACACGGTTGGTACAGGAGCTCCGTGTCATCAGGAACCCAGCTTTTTTGTTTTTCTGATCCACCACCTTTAGCATGTACTTTTCATCCTCCGTTGATGAAGATGATTGCCATACCTTCTGGCACCATTTTTATCTTCCAAGCAGAAAGAAAGGGATAAAAATCAAAAGCAATATGGGTTTTGATTTTTTTTTTTTTTGAAAGAATAAGTTCCTGAGCAACTTTTATCGACAATTGATTTACCAGAACAGTGACATATAACTTCCTCTAGTTGCAGAGGTGGAGTGAGAAGTGAGAATTGCATGCATAATTTAAGAACATAAACTTTATCCTGAAGACAGTTAAATGTTATTCCAGGTTTTGAACAGGGCTGTGACACAAAATGGATTAGATTCATTTGGGAGTGATCTGCAGAATGAACTAGGCAAATGACTGAAGAAGGGAAAGAAAGAAAGCTTAGCAGATTGATTAAAGGGAAGATGAGAAAAAAATCAATGAGGTCCAGTTAAAATACTTATTTAGTCAATCAGGCTACTATAATAATAGTAATGGTTTTGGGTACATATGCAAACTTGAGAATAGGAAGGAGAAATGGCTCTTACTCTCAAATGAGACCTGACCGATCATTCAGTTGTGAAAACTGGGGAGATCAGTCTTATTTAATACTGAAAAATTTAATCTGGGGAAATGGGCGAATAAGGATACATCTAGGTTATTAGAATATTTCAGTAAGATTAAAATAATTCTCTTGGATAGCTTTTTGATAAGTTTGGTAAGGTAACAACAGAGGTCCAAGAAAAGCCCAACCATATTTACCATTCTGATTTTCATAGTAATGAATAGGGGAAACTATCAGCACTAGAAACTAGAAAATATGCACTCTACATGTCAAAAATATTGTTTTTCTTCAACTAAATATAGTTTGGGTGGTGCTGAATTGAAGGAGCCTTACAAAGCTAACTCATGACTCTTCTGTCCTAATCTAACATCATTCCTAGGGATTGACTGGAGGAAAATCCCATGCAGGATTCCAGCTATGGCTTTTTCAGATTGGAAGTGTATAGATAACCTTCTTGGCCTTTTACCACAGGGGGAGAATCAAACTTTCTTGCCAGAGCAAGCCAAAAACAGGCTGGGAGCCCAAACTAGGAAAAAGAAGGGCAGTGCTATTGCTTTCTTGGTCCAGATCTTACTTTTGGCGTGAATAGTCAAACCAAGACAAGTTTTCTGTCCACATTTGACGTTTCAGGTTAAGACTGCCTTTGATTCTGGGCCGCCTGGGTGGCTCAGTCGGTTGAGTGACCCACTTCGGCTCAGGTCATGATCTCACGGTTTGTGAGTTCGAGCCCCACGTCGGGCTCTGTGCTGACAGCTTGGAGCCTGGAGCCTGCTTCCGATTCTGGGTCTCCCTCTCTCTCTGCCCCTCCCCCTCTCATGCTCTGTCTCTCTCTGTCTCAGAAATAAATAAACATGAAAAAAAAAATTTAAAGACTGCCTTTGATTCTGGCTGTGATTCAAAGAATATTCTCTCCATTTTGCTACTTTGAATCAATAAATGATACAGAAAAGATGAAAATTTCCCACATCCCTATATTTAAACTTGAAGGATTAAAATGAGTCTGCACAACTCTAACAAACTTAATTACCTTTAGTTACAAGTCAGTGTAATCTTTAATACTGATTCTTAAAACATTTTTGAGCTACTTTCTCCACCGCCACTACCAAGAATCTGATGAAAGCAAGCATTGTTTTTTTTCCCCAGAGAAATGGACCATTGTGGTCCATACTCCTAGAATTTTCTTTAAAGAAGCAGGAGCACTTGATCTAGAAAAAAGTATCAGATTTTCCATTGCAACTACGAAATAGTGCTGCAGCTCAACTCTGCAAAAACAAAACAAAAACAACAAGACTTAAAAATTTTTAATTTAGTATGTTTTGGCAAAATTCATGGAGACGTGACTTCTAAAACCTAGAGCAAGCAGTCAGCTAAGATCCAAGAAGATTGCACGGAAATGAAAAGCAATGCTGGGAAACAGTGATCAGTCGTTTGAGCATTATAGAAAATTCTAATGAGTAACAAGGAGATAAAACCAAAGATACAATCAGAATTCAGATGAGAATTTGATTTCATTTTAATTGAAAAACTATTTCTTAAAAATCTGTTATGTGTCAGGCATTGTGGTATCTGCAGAAGATATAGTGGTGACAAGACAGAGGTGCTTTCTTTTAAAAAAAAAAAAAATGTTAGCATGAGCAGGGAAGGGAAAGAGAGAGAGGGAGAGACAGAATCCAAGCAGCCTTCATGTTGTTAGCATGGAGCCCCATGCTGGGTTCAAACTCAGGAACTGTGAGATCATTGCCTAAGCCGAAATCAAGAGTCAGGCGCTTAGCCGACTGAGCCACCCAGGCGCCCCAAGACAGATGTGCTTTCACCCTTCTTGGAACTTAAAGTCTGTTCGTGAATATTAAAGAGTTTAAAATGGTGAAGACGAAAGACATGGTGGATACATTCAGGAAACCCAACGTGCATATAACTAAAATATCCTCTACTTCCAACCCCAAGCATCCTTTATACTCCTTAAGCTAATAGGCATGGATCTCAAAAGTCTTTTACAGTTTCTGTTCCTTCTGTCTGGAATGCTTTCAATACAAGGATTCGCTTGCTGTCTTATCTCCTTTAGGTGTTTGCTCATATATCACCTTTTCACTGCGACTTGCATAACTTATTGAAAGTTGCACAGCTTCTCATTCCTCAACAAGAGCTTCTGTTTCCCTCTTCTGTTATTTTTTTTCCATAGCACTTGTTGCTAACAGATATATACATATTTTTAATTTCCTTATGGTCTTTCTTTCCTTACCCTTTGAAGTTAAACTCGTTTGAGAGCGGGGTCTTTGTTTTATTCACTACTCTCCAGTGCCTAAAATTGTGCTTGGCAATTAGTGAGAATTCAATAAATATATGTTAAATTGATCTGAATTTCATAATAATGTTTTTTGTTAAATTTCTTGTACTCTTGTGTACTTTCTAAATTGCCTTTTGTATTTGGGGGAAAAAACTAATTTTTTCTTTTTCAAAATCTTTTTCATAGAACAAAGAGGTGAAGAAAAAAGCATCAGATTCAAAGAAAACAGCTGCATCTACTTTAAAGTAAGTAATTCCATGACTTTATAATGCTAGAATGAATGGGCATATGCATTAAAATATTAAAATTTTTATACAACTGCATTTTTAATATATTTTATTACCCTGACTCCAGTTTAAATGGGACATTGTTCAAAATGAATACATTAAACTTTAAATTTTAAAATATTTACGTATATAGGTATGTAAGTAAATAAGTTCTGTGACCAGTGTGGGGCTTGAACTCACATCCCTGAGATTAGGAGTCTCGTGCTCTACCTACTGAGCCATCCAGGCATCCCTGAACTTTTTTAGATATAAGTTTTGCATCTTTAAAAGTTTTAGAACTTAAAATTTCAATCTTTGCCTAATTTTTTTCTTTTCAATAGAAAAGATCTAGATGCTTCCAAAGCTGTTGATACTGTGACTTCAGGTGCTGCTGGTAAGTTACTTTTAATACTCCTCCAAATGAGTATATTTTGTCAGTTTACTAAAAACTTCTTGCAAGATGATAGTAGAAAAACATTGTTTATTGTGCTTTAGTGAAAGGGATCCATATTGGTCTCTGTATTAAGCTAGTGGTTAATATTTAGTACATAAAGATTCAGTGAGGTAGTGTATGTAAAATACCTACCATAGTACCTCCTTCCATCTCCTAACAATAAGACAAAACATAAAAATACGTTAAGATTGCTTGATTGGTCTCCTTTGATTTTGAAAGTTTGCTGAGAGTGCAAAAGTAAACAAAACAGACCAAACAAATTGATGTCACTACACTTCTGTGTTGAAGTTGTTTCTTTGTACTCAGGAAAACATTGCAGATATTTATTATGTATCTAGCTAAGTGAATTTTGCATATAGTTTCAATAAACTGCATTTTCTCAGTCTGTTTAGGTTTGGAAAGAAGTTATTGCCGAAACAAACACTCTTGACTTTAGTAAGAATAGATAGCTTGATAGTGAAGGATGAGACAGAAAAACTAAAATAAATAGACATAAAATATATTTAGAAAGTTAAATTCTTTTGTGTGTTATCTCTTAGAAAAGCCAGTGTACAGTGTATTCTGGATTTCTATTCAGAAATTCATATGTAATATGTATGGGGAAGGAGGGATAGAGAGGTGCAGAAGATTACTTCAATTAGGGAGATGATAAAACAAAAGTAACAATTGGGGATCACTTTGTTATAGAAAGCCTTGAAAAGTCATGTTGGGAAGTTTTTCAGTTTGACCCTGTTAATAGCATTTCTCAGAATATGGTGTGTTAGAGACTAAGTCCTAGAAGATACTTTGGGTCAAGTTTGTATTATAGCTTTTTCTTTTTTTTTTCCCCCTTTAAAAAAATTTCATAGACTACGTTCCCATTATTAAATCCTGCAGGGCAGGAAAGAAACCTGTTTAGCTTTGTTTAACCCACTGTTGATGAAGCTTGGCTAAGGTACTCCCCGTTTTTTCTATGTAAGACCTAGTAATAATTAGTATAGACTCTGGGAAATTGCCATAGAGAATAAACCACTAGATTGTTACATAGATTGGATAAATGGAAAGATTGAAAAATCCTGTTGAGAAAACACAGTTGGGATTCCCTTTAAGGTAATAGGGACTGGATGTAATAATGTTAATTAAAATGGTGTGGGGTGGTAAAATCTGAATTTTTATTATATAGAATTTTTTAGTGGATAAAATTTAAAATTAAAATAATTTAAAATGTTCAAGGTTTTAGGCTAGGTGGTTTTTACCAGAAGATGTGGCAATATTGATTATAATAGGAAAATTTAGATGCACTGGTCTCTTTGAATTTGAGGAAAACCATGAACTCACATTTCAACGTTGATAAATTTCATCTGTCAAAGACTATCGGACATATTGTCTAGGTCAGCCAGTCACATGGTGTTAAAAGTGGGATACCTGAGAAATTATTTGTCAAGATTGAGGTCTAAATTTTAGGAGTGGTCCTAACACATAAAAGCAATGAGTAGAGGGAGAAGTGCTTCAAACCAAGTATTTCCTCCCTTCTAATATAACTATAGAAAGACAGGAGCCTGTAAATAGGACTGAGAAAATGTCAGGTGAGAAAGGTGAGGGTGTATGGTACCTTTTTTGAGATCAGCAATGTCAGATTGGACAGTGACAAGTTAATAATGGGAGTTTTAAAGAGAACTTTGATTACAAGCACAAATCAGGATGAAGAGAAGTCAGGAAGCAAAAGTGTAATTTGATCAGAATGATAAACTTCAGAACTGTTACCCATCACTAACTAAAAAGAAGTAAGAATACCGAGCACCTACTATATGCTTGTAATAGGAGGCACTTTTTAAAGTGTTAGGATATGTCAGTGAACCAAATAGGCAAGATCTCTATTTCCAAGTAGCTTACATATTAGTTGAAGTGACAGATAATAAATACTAAATAATGTGCTTTACAAAGTGAGAAGAGCTGTGATAGGTGATCCAGGGTTAGTTTGATTTGGAGTTAGAATTTACTGTGTAGAATTTGGTAATTATTTGTTAATTAGAAGAATCTTCCAAGGGGCATAATCTGTGCCAGAAGACAGAAAACAAGAAAAAGAAACTTACCATTGGTTATGATAATTAATACCAGGCAATTTATGTTATCTCACTTAATCTTTCAAATCACCCTTCTCATTTTATACATGAGAAAACAGATTAAGAGAGTAAATAATTTAAGTTTAAATGACTTATTCAGGGTTACATGGAAGAGTTAGGATTCAGATCTAAAACTGTATGATTTCAAAGTTTCTCACCTATATTAAACTGCCTCTCTGAGAATAAAAACTTGTTTTTCATTTCCTTTGATTGCTCTTTTATCGTCCCTTAATTGTTTCCCTAAATGTCTGTTCCTCTTATGTCATACTTGTCTTCCTGGTTTTTTTTCTTCTCATATAGGTTTAAGGACCAGTGACATTTTGCATATGTACAGAAACCTCTCTATCCCCTTAAGTTTACTCCTCTCATTTTCTTGTGTCATCTAACAGTCACCATTAATCCTCCAGTGTGGAAACTGTTAGTAATCCTATCCCTGTCCTTTTTTCTTCTACCCAACCCTGTTCAAACTTAAATACCATTCTTCCTCTTTTCATCCAATCCGTGGCTGATTCAAACTAGTTCTCTCGCAAATCTACCTCAAACTATGTCTTTCACTATTGCTGCATCACACCTGTAACTGTTTTAATTGCTTCACATTTGAATTTTGAAGGTAGCCTCCTGACTGGTATTTATATTCCACTCTCTACTTCATTATTCACACTGATGCCCAGAAGTCTCTTGAAGGCAGATCTGATCATTCCACTTCTAGTGATCCACGGGGGAAAGCCCAAATTCTTCAGCGTTGAATAAATGACCCTTTACACTTGTCCCAGATGACTTTTCAGTGTCTTGTCACCTGTGTGCTGTCCATTTGTTTGGAATTGTCTGAATTCCACTTTACTTACTAAGCACTTGTTATATACCTGCTTAAGTAGGTGCCAGGCCTTGTGCAAGGTACTAAAGATAGAAAGTTAATTACGACTCCTTTTTTAGGGTGGAGGTGGAGGAAATTCTAATTTATTTTTTAAGGCCCATCTCAGATATAACTTCTTTGTGATACCTTCTCTGACTCACCTAGGCAGTTAGAAGCTCCCAATTCCCTTCTAGTAATACTGGATACATTGAGTGACGTGGTATTAGTAGTTTGTTAAGTCTATCTCTTTTACTTGGCTGAGTAAGGGAATATTTGTAGGAGGAAGAATACAGGCACACTGAAATTGAGTTTATATTGTTGCGGCTGAACCCGTGGGAAAACATAGCCATAATTTTCTAGTTTGTCATCCTTGATTTAATGATGCTTTTTGTGTAAGGTTTTATTGGTTTAGTTGTTTGTTTTTAGTAAATGTATCTTATTCTTTATGCTTTTCAATTCCTAGATGAAAATGACTTTTCTTTTAGGAAATAAAACATGAACAAATGAAAAAAAGAGGCAAACCAAAAAACAAACTCTTAACTATAGAGAATAAGCAGATGGTTACCAGAGGAGAGGTGTATGGGGGGAGGGGTGAAATAGGTGAAAAGGATTAAGAGTACACTTATCTTGGTGAACAGTGAATAATATATGGAACTCCTTTTTTTTCCTAAGCCTGTTTTCTTCTTTTTTAACGTTTATTTTTGAGAGAGAGAGAGAGAGACAGACAGAGCACAAGTGGGGAGGGGCAGAGAGAGAGGGTCACAGAATCCGAAGCAGGCCCCAGGCCCTGAGCTGTGAATACAGCCCCACACGGGGCTTGAACCCACGAATCATGAGATCATGATCTGAGCTGAAGTCAGACGCCTAACCAACTGAGCCACCCAGGCGTGAATATTATATGGAACTTCTATATTGTATTCCTGAAACTAATACAACACTTGATGTTAACTACATTGGAATTAAAATTAAAAAAAAAAAAAGAGTGACTTTCAATCCTTTATTTCCCCAATAAAAGCACTCGATTCAAATAGTTCCCACATCGGAGTTCCACAAACCTTTAAGGAAGCAGTAAATCTAGTTTGATTTCAGCTATCCTGTGGCATTCAGAGGAAAGGAAAACTATCTTTAAAACTGGAGACGGAGAGAAGGGAAACAAGAAAAAGCAGGCTAATATGGACATCAGTGCTGACAGAGACACTATATGCCTATCAGAAGGGTTAGACAAAATTGTAACACAAAATGCTATTAAGGATGTAGAGAAAGTTGTAAGTTGCTATTGGGAATTTAAAATGGTACAGAAAAGAGTATTGCAGTTGTTTTTAAGTTAATGAATTTAAGTAATCTCTGTACTCAACATGGGGATTGTACTCATGACCCCAAGACCAAGAGCCGCACTCCCTGCTGACTGAACCAGTTAGGTACCCAAGTATTGCAGGTTCTTAACAAAACTAAACATATGCTTACGATAGCACCCAGTGGTTATGCTCTTTGGGCATTTATACCACATGGATGAATTACATTTACAAAAGACCTCTTCACACAAAACCCTGTGCGTGAATATTTTTAGCATCTTTTAAAAAAAATTTTTTTTAATGTTTATTTATTTTTGAGAGAGAGTGAGAGAGCGTGAGCAGGGGAGGGGCAATGAGAGAGGGAGACACAGAATCCAAAGTAGGCTCCAGGCTCCAAGCTGTCAGCACAGAGCCAGATGCGGGGCTGAAACTCATAAACTGCATTTAATTAACATACAGTGCAATATTGGTTTTAGGAGTAGAATTCAGCGATTTATCACTTACCATACAACACCCAGTACTTCTCACAACAGGTGCGCTCCTTAGTATCCATCACCCTTCTAGCCCATCTACCCACCATGCTCCATCACCCCTTAATTTGCTCTCTAGCATTTAGAGTCTCTTGTGGCTTGTTTCCCTCTCTTCTCTTTTTGACCCCCTTCCCATATGTTCATCTGTTTTGATTCTTAAATT